AGGGTTAAGGGATAAGGGTTTAGGGTTTAGGGTTTAAGGGTTTAAGGGTTTCGGGTTAACAAGCCTAGGGGCTTCGGGCTGTGTGAGCTACTAGGAGTAAGCTGGTAGACTCCAGAGGACATGGTTCCCAATCAGGACCCCTTTTGCCGAGGCTTTGATATGAACATATTGGCTGCAGGTCCCATGAAGTATGACTTCCATCACTAGCATTCACCCCCAAGGCCGAATGACCCCGGCCAAAAAAACAACCCTAAGCGTAAGCCCCCAAAACTTCCATTGCTCCAACACAAGTGCTTATCACAAGGTCATACTCAAATACCAGCACCCCACCCTGGGAATAACACCCAGTCTTACAAGACAGACGATCAGCGACTGTCAAGGATGCTCCTCCCAACATCCCTAGCGGGACCCTTGCACCTAAACCCCAAACCCTACATACACGCAGGAACCTCAGAAGCTTGCGAATACAGGCACAAGGCGAATATGCTAAAACTTTACATCCTGAAACCCCCCAAACTCAAAATCCCCTGACCCTACCACTTAAACCCATGTTAACCCTCAAACCCTAATTCCCCCAAAACCCCTAAACCCTAAACCCTACGTCTTCAGGCTCAAATCGACGCTAAGTCTGATCCTAAACCCTAAACCCTAAACCCTAAACCTCTCTGGGGCCCCAGTCTCCGGTAACTCCGTAGATCGATGCTTGAATCAACAGGCCCGCCTGCGAATTTTAGGATTTGGGGCTTTACTTGTTTTGCTTTTTTTGCTTTGTGGATTAGGGTTTAAGGCTTTAGTGTTTTTTTTTTTCTGTTTTGGGGTTTGGGGTTTAGTGCTTTAGCGTTTGGGGCTTGGGGTTAGTTTAGGGGTTTAAGGCTTAGGGCTTGGAGTGAAGAGCTTAGACTTGTAGGGTTTAGGATGTCCATGCTTCTGCCGAACATTGTTTCGGGCTGCCGGGAACCCTAAAAACCCTAAACTTTAAACCCTAAACCCTGACCCTAACATGGCAATGGCCTGGTTGGGGGCTTCAGTTTGGAGTTAGTGCTTTAGGCAGTGTTCAGGATTAGCATGCTTGGGGGACTCCTTCTACTTTGCGTAGAAAGGCAGAAGGGTCGTAATGATCCCGTCCGCTGGCACCAACACCAAAACGCCTGTACAAGCCACCGTGCTTAGGGCTGCTTCTTTATGACTTCCTTATGCAAATTAAATCTTTACCACGGTAGGTCATTTTGGGGTGAAGGTGAAACAAGAATTAAATAAATCTTGAACCCTGAGCTGTCAGCCCCTCACCCTGAACCCCACCCCTTGTCGTGGACTCTATGAACTCGTGCTTGGGTGTACATAAAGCTTTGGGGAGTTGGCTTCTTTTGGCTACCATTGCCTTTCATTTTCGGTTCCAAACTTAGGAAGTCGTTTCGAACAGTTTCCTAACCCCAAAGAGGAACTACACGCCATCGAAGACACAAGGAACGACAATGGAGGCCATAGGCACAATACAATACTACCTAAAACCCCTAAACCCTAAACCCTAAACCCTAAACCCTCAACCCTAAACCCTAAAACCGTGAGCCCCCAACCTACTTGAGTTCTAACTGAACCAACGAAGATTCCGAGTTTAGGGTTTAGGGCTTGGGGTTTAGGGTTTAGGGTTTAGGGTACCGCACGCCGGCAAACTCGAGTTTGTGGACCCCGCATCTTTAACCCCCAGACTCTCTAGACTAAACCCCAAACAACTAGATTAGACCGCTTGTCTAAATAAGGGACTACGCCTACACCCTGAAGCCCCCTAAAACCCTAGAGCCCGAGAATCCTAAAAACCCCAAAACCCCAAACACTAAATTCCTAAAACCCTAAACCCTAAACCCTAAACCCCAAACCCTAAACCCTAAACCCTAAATCCTAAATTCCTAAAACCCTAAACCCCTAAACCCTAGGGCCCGAAGACCCTGAGGGGCTGAACACCACATCTCCGGAGCCTCACAGGGGTTCGGCTGGCAGCTGTGGCTGGTGACCGAGAGAGTGCCGTCGTCGCCTGTAGTGGCTGGGTTTAGGGTATACGTTGTAGGGTCCAAGGCTTTACGTTGGGGTTTATGGTTTAGGGTTTAGGGTTTGGGGCTTAGGGGTTTAGGGTTTGGGGGTGTAGGATTTGGGGTTGAAGGTCTAGGGTTTGAGGTGTTGTGCTTTTGTTGGAAAGGGGGTGGAAGGAGGCTCCTTGTTAAAATAATAGTTTAATATATCCCAAACCCTTAACCCTAACCCTGAGCACTCCGAGCCTTGTGGAGTCCTAATATACGGGCCTGAATCATTGGAATAGGGTTTCAGGGTTTAGGGTTTTGGGTTCAGAGTTTTGGCTACTTCGAGCTCGGAACTCCCTGTTCCGAGCTTAAGCTGTCGTAGGGTGTAGGGTTAAGGGTTTCGCTTTTAGGGTTTAGGGCCTTTTTCCTTGTCTAGGGGTTTAGGGTTTGGTTTAGGGATTAGGGTTTCGGCATAGCCTTGTAGTTTGCCGTGGCTTGGAGCTGCGATTAGTGTCAAATCGCGTGCTCCTCAACATGTCAAGGCACACAGGCCGCGAGACCAAATGGGATGCTCGGGCTTGGAAGGAGATTGGGACGATTTCAGACAATATGACATCCGAATGTATACAGCCTGACGGCTTGGGGTTTAGGGTTCCCCTAATAGTAGTAGTATTAGTAGTAGGAATAGTAGCAGTGGTGGTGGTGGTCGTCGTAGTAGTCGGAGCAGTAGTAGTAGTAGTAGTAGTAGTAGTAGTAGTAGTAGTAGTGATAGTAGTGACGATAAAAGCAAAGGCAGCAGCTCCATCCTGCACACACACCCGGGCACACGCACACAAAGACAAAGCCGCACCCACAACTCTGAAGCACAAAATTAAAGGAAATTACAGGTGGGGAGTTTAGGGTATATAGGGCTTCTACAAGGCTTCTATAAGGTATATAGACCTTCTATAGGGCTTCTATAACGGTAACTACCCACCTGAAAATTTTCCTAGACAAAAAAACAAAAAAACAAACAAGTAGTTAACACAGTTCACACCATCACTAAGACCTAAACCTTCAGCCCTGAACCATATGTGTAGTTCTCGAAAATAGGATCCCGTTTTAGGTCCCAAATATAGTACGGCACCCTTATAAAAAGGCCCCTAAAAGGGACCCCAATTTAGAGAACTACCCATATACTAGCAAAAAGACGGAACATTCGACCATATTGGTTTGCTCAGCCAGCGGCAGGCCAATTCAACCTCACCGCCGAAGCCGAAGAGGACATTGCCACAGGCCTTCGGGAAAGCATACAGACAATCTCTGCACGCCCCTTATAGGTTCCATGGCGCCGAGTAGGGCTTGATGGGGTTGGGGGATTGTGGCGGTTATGCTGTTATTCTCCTTTTCTTTGTAGGGCTCAATGTCTAGGATTCGGGGTTCTGGAGTTGGCTTCGTAGGACTCCGAAGCGCCGCTCAGCCCTTACCTTTGCGTAATTCCCTCAATCAGGGTCCCTGTTTAGGTCCCAAATGTAGTACGGCACCCTTACAAAATGGATCCTAACAGTGACCCTCATTTCGAGATTTATCCAAAAAAGAGCACTTATATTACCCTGATCGAAGCCTTGTAGAAACCCTTACACATCCCGTTATAGTGAACCCCTAAAAACGACCCTAACTTAGAGAACTACGCACATGCGCTTTACGGCGCACTGGTGATCAACTCGAAAGGTCTAAAGCCCTAAACCCTCAACCCCTAAACCTCTCAACTCTAAACCCTCAATCCTGAACCCTAAACCCCTAATCCCTAAACCCCTAAACCTAAAGCCTAATCCCCGAACCCCTAAACCCCTAAACCCCCTGAACCACCTCAAAGCCCCTGAACCCCCTAAAGCCCCTAAACCCCTGAACCCCCCTACACCGTGGCGGGACTTGGAAGCTTGGAGTTGCGGGTTTACCGGGCTCTTACGAACAAGGAAAGGATTTAGGGCTTAGGGTTTAGGGTTTAGGGTTGAGGGCTGAGGGTTTAGGTTAGGGGTTTGGGTTTAGGGTTTAGGGTTTAGGGTTTCGGGTTTAGGGTTTGGGTTAGGGGTCTGGGTTTAGGGTTTCGGTCAGGGGGGTGGGGGTTAGGGGTTAGGGTTTAGGGTTTAGGGTTTAGGTTAAGGGAATGTCTCGCGTCACTATTCAGCCCGACTCTATAAGCAGAGCGAAAAAGAGGCCGCGAGACCCTGAACATGTCGTCTGGATTCTGGTAATCATGCATATAAGCTTTCAAGAATCTGAAAAACCCTAACCCCCAAACCCTGCAAGTTCTGACCCAACTTGAGCTCTACGTCCTCTTGCCAGGAGACTCGCGCTGGACAGCTCACTGAGGATCAAGAAAAGGCTGCCCGGCCGTGTGTGTTTGAATAGGTCGCTCTGCATAGCCCGAGCCATACATTCGACTGCATACCGCCTAGCCGATCCAGAGCCCGGACCACGACAGCTACTTCAGGCGCTACCACTTTCATGGTAGCGGAGCCTCACCAGTGACGGGAGGCTCATAACGATCCAGGGAAACACGGCTCCGAGGGGAATCGGAGATCTATGAGTGGTGCGACTGAAGTCAGTGGCACAGTGGTGACGCGCACCAAGGATGGCATCCCAACATGGAGTGGAGAGGCAGGCAGCTTCGTTCAGTACGAGGAGGCCGCCTTGTTGTGGGAGCAGTCCTTGACATGGGAGAAGCGGTACACGGCGGGCCCCAAGCTGGTTCAAGAACTAACGGGTGCGGCACGAAGGTTTGTCACGGGACAAGGTGCCGGCTGGGTGGCCTACCGTGGAGGCGTGACGGTCCTCATGGACCACCTGCGGCGGGCTTTAGGGAAGCCCCGAGTGAACGAGGTCACCGACTTGCTGGCGACGTACTTCAAGGGCACGCGGCGCCGCGCGAACGAGAGCATGAACGAGTATATCACCAGGAAGTCGGAGGCCTACATGAGGGCCAGCCAGGCCTTGAAGAGGGTACAGCCCTACTATGACAAGACCGGGCCTCAGACTTGGAGCGAACCATGGAACCCCAGCCGCCGCAGCAGCTGGGATGGCCATGGAAGCGCCTGGGGACGACAGTGGACACCTGCAAGCGAGACTACATTGCAGGAGGACACCGAGGCGTCCACTGAGGCCCCACGGGACGCAGATGGCAATGCCACGGAGGAGTGGCAGACGAGATGGCGACCATGGGGAACTTACCACCAAGGAGGGTGGAACTCATGGAGCTGGCATGGAGGATGGGACTCGGGCTACCAGTGGAGCCAGACATCCGCCAGCTCCACCTCGGGCAGCGAGGCGATGGCCATGGGAAGTGAGCTACTTCCCAGCTTCATTCAGGGCTGGTACTTGTTGGCGGACTCCAGTCTGGACCACGCGGAGCGGAACATCATCCTTACCGCCCTTGGCGGAGACTTCGCGCCACAGCGAGTGGCCCAGGAGTTGAGGAATCAGTTTCCAGAAGGAGAGGTCCGCCGACGGGACCAACGCCGGCATCAAAGCTACATGGGGGAGAACGTGGACGAGTCGGCCGACGACGAGACCGCCGAGAACCACGGGTTCACCCTCCAGGAGCTCACCGATGGCGGCATGACTGAAGAGGGCATCGCGCTGGTGGTTGACTACGAGGAGACCGCGAGGGAGGCCATGGCGGCGATGTACCAGGCCAAGCGGACCTTGAAGGAGGCCAGACAAAAGCAGCACAGCGTCAAGCAAAGCAGAAGGTACTACACCAGCGGCTCCGGCTCAGCATCTTCAGCACCCCGACCTCGCGATGATAGCAATATCGACTGCTTACGCTGTGGCAAAAAGGGACACAGAGCTGCAAATTGTCCTATCAAGCCCCTGGCCTCACAAGGCGAAGCACACGCCGCCACGAACCAGGACGATGGCGGCCTGCAACAAGCCCCCTTCGTATGCTTCCAGGACCTCGCAGAGAATAACCGGGAGCCCCACATGAATGGCTTCGCCCAGGACTTGCACGATGAGCAGACCGAGGCAGCCCTGAGCGCAGAGGTTCCGGGAGATGGGTTGTCTACCTGGGAGGCAGTAAAGCAGGGAATGTGTGTGGTCGACGGTGGAGCGACCCAGACCGTGGGCAGCGTCACTGCCGTGGAGGCCATCCTCCAGCAGAATATGAAGAAGCACGGCAAGAATGGCCTAACCGCAGTGAGCACCAAGGATCCTCCAACGTTCTCTTTCGGAAACAGCACTGAGAACAAGTGTTTGAGTACGGCCGTTTTGAAGGTCACAGCAGGAGGCTCGCCAGGTGCACTACAAGTGCACACGCTGGACTACGGGCAAAGCCCGGTTTTGCTTAGCGTAGAAGCCCTCCGGAACCTAGGTGCTATTATAGATTTCAGTGCAGATTTGGCGGTGTTTCGCAAGCTGGACGACTCTCGGGTCATTAAGTTGGCTCGAGGGAAGTCTGGACATCAGCTTTTGCCCTTGACCGAGGATTGGATGACAAACGCCACCAAATCTGCAAGGCCTGTCCCAAGCCTCACTTCCTATCTTCAGCTGTAGGGACAGCTCCTTCCGATCTCTGACCCTGACGGAAAGAGGAAGGACCGAGATGTAGCATCAGGGAGGGGTTTTTCCAACATGAGTCTCGCAGATCACTCTGGGGTTAATGGGGTGAGGTGCGAGGGCTATGTTCAGGATTTGGGTAGTAGACAAGAAACTTTGGATGGAACCGAAGATGCCAGTGGTGCCGTTGAGAGAGTTGCCGACACCGTGAAGTCCAGTGCAGGGTACCAGGTGCAGCATGAAACAGACCACAAACATGATGGCAGCGATCCAGGCTCAGAACCTAGTGCCCATTGCGTTCCCCCTCGCGTGCCACAACATGGACCGCATGTCGAAGGCGGAGTTGGTTCTTCACCTGCGCTCTATGGGGGAGGAGCCCCCGGCATCATGGACCAGGATGGAGCTTCGTCAGAGGCTCAGCGACATGGCGGACCACGGGGAGGTCATGATCACCACCGCCAAGAAGGGAAAGACAGCTCTCCAAACGGCTGTGGCGGAGCTCAATCGAGCCAGTCGGAAGAAGTCCGAGCTCATCGAGTACGCGGTGAAGAACCACAGCGTGAAGGTGGGGTCCAACGACACCATCGCGATCATCCAGAAGAATTGCATGACGCTCCTCATTCAGACGATCGAGGGCGAGGACGACGATTTGATGGGGTTTGGGAAACACTCCGAGCGGACCTACCTACAGGTTCTCGAGAGCGACGGCCAGTACTGCGATTGGGCAAGGACTACAGCACGCGAAGGAGATTGCTCGATCTACCTGAAGCGCTTTGTGAACTGGATGGAGCACCGCCGCCCCGCGGACACCAAGAAAAAGATCATCATGGCCAAGAAGAAGACGTCCAAGATGGGAGCTGGCTACCCCGAGCCCGAGCTGGCCCCTACCCCGAAGGCAAAGACTATGATGACCAGTTCGGCGGCAAGCTCATCCGAGGATGCGGTGCTCCAGCTGACCGAGATGGTGGCTACCCTGGCGGCCGAAGTGAAGTCGCTGAAGGAAGACAAGGGCGAGAAACCAAGGAAGATGACAGCTCGCCCAGACGAGGAGATGCCGATGAAGGACGGGAGTTGAGCTTGCAAGCTTCACGAGTGTTAGAGAATAAGAGCAGGAGAGTTATTCCGGATATGTTTGAGGGTTTGGTTGGCGTCTCGCGTGTGCAGTTGCTTGAAGTGACCAGCGACTCAGACAGTTTGTTGACCAACATGCTTGTAGCAAGGACGGGCGTGACTGAAAGCGCCTGTAGATCTACACTGTGGGATGGGCACGACCTGTCCCAACCTGAGGGTCTCGCGGTCTCTCTGGAGCAGGTGCATGCTTTGAAGCCCAGACATGTCTGGATCAGCCCAAGTACCAAAGCCTTCTCTCCCCTCCAAAACCTCAATCAGAGAACTCCTGCCCAGACGCGTGACCTCAAAGCCAAACGAGCCCTTGAGATTCGAATCTTCGAAAACACAGTTGAGCTGGCGAAAACATGTTTGCAGCTGGGTTGTCATGTCACTGTTGAACTTCCCGAGAAGAGTGAAGCGTGGAGGTTGCCCGTGCTTCAGGGATTGAGGTTTCAGATGGGTTTGTTCAGCTGTGTGGTGAAAGGGTGTGCCGTGGGATTAAAAGGAAGGGACAATAAGCTTGTTCAGAAGGGATGGCGGCTGGTGACCTCCCATCCCCACCTCGCGGAGAAACTTCACAAGCCCTGTAGGTGCCCCACCAACTACCAGCATGCTAGGAGTGACAATGCCAGCGATCGTGGTAAGCAAGGGTACCCCAAAGAATTCGGAAGGTTGGTTCTGGATGCTTTGAGTTGGGAAGGTGATGGAGATGATGTTCTGAAGGAGTGCAGCGGTAGGTCTAGGCTTCCTGAAGGGTTTGGGCTTGGGACCAGATGTACTTGTGAAAACAGGGATCAGACTTGCGGTAGTTGTCTGGTGTCTAATCATGGAGGCCCAGAAGCCACTGAGCAAAGCTTGATAAGTGACAGTCTTAGGAAACATGTCGAAGAGCAAGCCTTTCAGCAAGCCCACAGCCGCCAGGCCTCCAGTCTCGAAGGACTTGAAGGGTTTCTCCAACAGCATTCCCTCAAGAACATAGGCTCTTCCCGAAGAAACCTCAAAGGCCCAAATCAGTACCATGTTTTTGGATCCTACGCTTATGGCAATCAGTATGGAGTCACGAGTCGAACTAATATGTTGCCTGAGTTCTGTAGGTATGTGAATAAGGTGATCCAGAAGCAGTTTCCCAAAAACCACTTCTATACCTCCTTTGCCCTAAACTGTGGGACCTACATGCCGATCCACCGTGACGCGCACAACGACGAGAGGTTTCCCAACGGCAGTATAGGCTTAGGAAGCTATACAGGGGGAGGCTTGTGGGTGGAGGAGTGTTCGAAACTTGAGAAGGTTGAGGGCCGGGTTTCTGTTCGTGAGGGATCAGAAGGGGAAGTTCTTTCCGGAAAGGAGTACGATATCTGGAGAAAGGGCCTGGTGTTTCCGCCAAAGGTGCGACATGGATCTTGTCCCTGGGAAGGCCAAAGGTGGGTTCTTACGACTTATGTGAGTCGGGGATGGCAGGGATTGAAGACTGATGAGTTGGAACGTCTCAAGGACTTAGGCTTCCCGACCCCTCCCCGACCTGAAGCCGAAGCGTATCCTGCTGAACGTGTTCCTCCGAGCCCGAACCCCACTAAAGCCGATGAACGTATTCGGAAACAACTGTATCTTCTGCACTGCGCAACCGGGCACAGTCACCCCAGGCACATGATCCAAGCCCTCAAGAAGCGTGGAGCGGACCCCAGAACCCTTGAACTTGCCGAAGCTTTCCAGTGTCCTGTGTGTTTAGAAAAGAGTAGGCCCCCTCCGAGAGCGTTGGCCTCCTTAGAACCATTACCCCCGAAACTTTCCACAATCAGTGCTGATGTGGGCCATTGGACCCACCCAACGACCGAAGAGAGCGTTCAGTTCATGCTGATTATTGATGAAGGGTCACGGTACAGGGTTGCTAGGGTGTTGACCTCGGGACCCCGACAGGCTCCAAAGGCCCAGGATTGCATCCACTATCTTCAGGAGGGATGGGTTCAGTATTTCGGTCACCCTCGGAGTCTGCGTTTGGATCCAGCTGGAGCGTTCCGTAGTGCAGCCATCGAAGAATGGTGTGACAGACACAGTATACATCTGGACATCGTCCCGGGGGAGGCCCATTGGAAGATTGGAACATGTGAAAATGCGGTAAAGGGTGTTAAAGAGGTCATGTCCAAGTTATGCCACGCCGACCCCGACCTCTCTGTGCAGGAGGCCCTGGCAGAAGCTGTAGTGGCATTCAATCAGAAGGACTTGATACGCGGGTTCTCACCCGCCCAACATCTCCTAGGCCAAGCTCCCGACGAGACCGGACGCTTCACGATAGGCTGTGATCGTGTGCCACCAGGGATGCAAGTGGAGAATCCTTCAGGGGAGTTTGAGAGGTCCGTCAAGCGACGGTTGGAGGCAGAAAAGTGTCTCCTGGAATGGCAGGCCCAGCAACGCTTGCTCCGGGCGCGACACTCCAAGCATCGTCCATGCTACTCCTATGTGCCAGGAGAACTTGTTTTCTATTGGAGGACTCAGGACTCCAATAAGGGCAGACGCCAGCCTGGAGGGAAGCATGGCAGGTTCCTGGGCCCGGCCAGAGTATTGGCCACGGAGTCCAGATGCGAGGCCTCTGGGGAAGTTCGCCCAGGAGGAGCCATCTGGCTCGTGAAGGGCCGGAGCTTGCTCAAGTGTTGTCCGGAGCAACTGAGAAAGGCATCGCACAGAGAAGAACTGGTGGCAGCCATAGCCAGTGGACACTCACAGGCAACCCCATGGACCTTCAACTCAGTGGCCGAGCAGATAGGAGGAAACAAGTTTGAGGACCTGACTGGAGACACGCCGGATCTCCAGGAGTGGCAACGCGCGCAGGATGCCGATGAGGAGGTCCAACCCAGCCGGTACCGGCTGCGACACAAGCGGCCCGCCAGCGGACCCCCTTCAGGGGTAAGGGAAGACGACGAGGAACTGCCCGAGGCCAGTGAAGCAGCCAGTTCACCACAGAGGCCTCGGCTACAAGGACCTTCCGGAGAAAATCAGGCCGCGTGGTGGAACACGATTCCCGAGGATCATTGGCCTACGCAGCGAGCTGGTTACTGGGATGATCAGACCGCGGCGGTGGCCATCGAGATCGGGTTTCCAGAGTCACAACGGGGCAAGCAAAGGGCCCTACAAGACTTGAGTGGCTACTTCGTCAGCAGCATGAAGCGACGAGCAGTTGAACTGTCGGAAAAACGAATGACGGCTGCCGAAAGGGCGGAATTCAGCAGCGCGAAGGGCATCGAGGTCAAAAACTTTGTTGCGTCGCAAGCGTTCGAAATACTTCCCGATCACTTGAAACCGGATTCTTCGCAAGCCATCAGCATGAGGTGGATACTTTCTTGGAAGTTGCGTGACGACGGCAGCAGGAAGGCGAAGGCAAGAGCAGTGCTTCTTGGCTACCAAGATGGTAGCTACGAACATAGAGCGACCACTTCCCCAGTGATGACTCGCCAGACTAGACAACTTCTATTACAGGTCGCTGCATGGAAGCGCTGGCGGGTGCAGAAAGGAGATGTGACTGGAGCCTTCCTCCAGTCAAGACAGTATCCTGACGAGCTGTATTGCATTCCCTGCCCAGAAATCTGTGAGGCTTTGGGGGTCCCTAGCGGATCAGTAACAAGGGTACGGAAGGCATGCTATGGCTTGGTGGATGCCCCGCTGGAGTGGTATCGATCGGTGGATCAGTTCTTGAAAGAGCTAGGATTCCAGAGGTTGTGGTCGGACGCTTGTTGCTGGGTCTTGCGGGAAAAAGGGGTTCTTCGGGGAATCATTAGCGGCCATGTTGATGATTTCTTGTTCGGAGGAAAAGAAGGTGATGCTCTTTGGGAAAGCAAGGTGGAAGCGATCAAGGCTAAGTTTAAGTGGGGGGATTGGGAACAGGACAGGTTTACTCAATGCGGGGTAATCGTGGAACAGACCAAGCAAGGATTCGAACTGTCCCAGCCATCCTACTTAGAAGGTCTTCATGAGATTGGAGTGAACGCTAGCCGTAGGAAGGACCTGAGCCAACCCACCTCTGATAGAGAGAAAAGCCAGCTCCGAGCGCTCCTAGGAGGAATCAGCTGGCATGCTCAGCAGGTTGCCCCTTACCTGGCGGCCGAAGTAGGACTACTCTTAACTGAGGTTACGAAGAGCAGCGTGGACACGATCATCCGCGCAAACCAGTTGTTGGCGGTGGCAAAGAGCAAGCAGCAGTATCGCATGAAGATCCATGCCTTCCCCGAGGACCAGGAGCTGGTCCTCATCGCATGGGTCGACGCGGCGCACGCGAACAGGATTGATGGTGGCTCGACTCAAGGGATCATCCTGGGCATGAGCACTTCGCAGCTTCTAGAAGGAAAGGTGCAGGGGGTCAGCCCGATTGGCTGGCACTCCCAACGCATAGACCGGACCTGCAGATCGCCAGGAGCTGCGGAATCACAGGCAGCAGTCAATGGGGAGGATCACCTCCATGCCGCCCGCTACGCCTGGTCCGAGATGCTGTATGGCGATGTGAACCTGTCGGATCCAGATGGGGTGGTTCGACGCGTCCGAGGATGCGTCGTTACAGACAGCAGGAATGTCTACGACAAGTTGGTGACGGAAACCCTTGTTATCAAGGGAGCAGAGAAAAGGACAAGCCTGGAGCTCTTGGCGCTGAAAGAGGCCCAAGAGAACACAGGAGTTTCAGTCAGATGGGTGCACAGTGAAGCTCAGCTTGCAAACACCTTAACTAAGAGTGGAGGCTTCCGGGAGTATGACCTCTTCAACAAGATGGGCCACGTGTGGCGTCTCGTCGAGGACGAGAAGATGATGTCGGCTCGAAGGCGCAAAGAACTAGGACTCCAGCCACTGGAGTCAGAGGGGAAATCCAATGTTTCTAGTCAAGGGGATGTCTGCATTTCAGAGTGATCTGCGAAGACAAGTTAATGTTTCAGAGCCAGAAGTGCTCAACACACCAGGCTGATAAAGCCGGGAGTCGGGGCCATGCAAGTTCTGACCCAACTTGAGCTCTACGTCCTCTTGCCAGGAGACTCGCGCTGGACAGCTCACTGAGGATCAAGAAAAGGCTGCCCGGCCGTGTGTGTTTGAATAGGTCGCTCTGCATAGCCCGAGCCATACATTCGACTGCATACCGCCTAGCCGATCCAGAGCCCGGACCACGACAGCTACTTCAGGCGCTACCACTTTCAAACCCTAAACCTCGAGACTTTCGGGACACCGCTGCAAAGAAGCAGAAACCCTGGCCTGGACGCCGGTGCCCCCGTGCGGGATGCGGCGGATTGGCCTGAGAAGCTTAGGGTTTTGGGTTTAGGGGTTTGGGGTTTTGAGTTTAGGGGTTTTGGGGTTTTGGATTTAGGGGTTTGGGGGTTAGGGTTTAGGGATTTAGGGTTTAGGGCATCAGGGTTCAGGACAGAAAGGTGAAAGGCCAGTTCTTCCTACCTAAGCTTCTACTAGGGTTTTCAAGACAAGCCTAGTTTTTTGCAGAAAAACCTAGAAGTTCTTCCTATCTAGGCAACATAAGCTTGAGCTGTATCCTCATAAGCCCTAGCCTCTGGCTTGCATGAACGCCGGCTGAAAGGACCCTTTCAACCCCCACCACCCAACCCTAAACCCTAAACCCTAAACCCTAAACCCTAAACCCTAAACCACTGAACCCTAAACCCTAAGCCCCGGAACCACGAACTCTTACTGTAGAACCCTTTAAGTGGACCCTTTGAAGACCCTGAGCTGGGCTCCCTGGCCACACCGTGTACTGTTCGCCTTCCACAGTCACCTGAGCAAATTACGCCTTAGGGCTTGGGTTTAGGGGTTTAGGGTTTTGGGTTTAGGGTTTACGCCTTAGGGCTTTAGTTTAGGGGTTTAGGGTTTCCGAAACCGACGCAGATTTGTATCTGTATCAGTTCTTGCATGTATCAACATATATGTCTTTTCCTCAGGTTGCACATGTTCAATCTATTTTTCCTTTGTTCAACTAATGGGAGAGATCCAACATCAAAACAAACCCTGAAAGCTTACAGTTTAGGGGCTCGAGGCGTAGAGATTAAGCTTCAGGTGCCTGCACCAGGGTCGTAGGGTTTAGGGTTTAGGGTGTAGGGTACGAAGAAAGAAAGTGTGTCGAGATCTGCCTTCGACTAGCTACCTGGGCACAGAGCGGACTTTGAATACTTTTGGGTACGCCTATATGTACACACACAACATGTTCAACATACACGTTCAGCCTGTCTAAGGCTTCGGGGGCAATTACCTATACTATTTTGGGAGTTCCTTATTCTATTCATAGCTAAATAATACCCCAAAGCTCTATTCTAATCATTATGGCCCCTACATCAAATTTTCGTGGGCGAAGTGTTCAAGCTTCGGTTGCAGAGCCTTTAAGTCAGACCAAAGAGCAGACAAAACCTCCTGAAGAAACCACCTAAAAAGCCTGCTAATTAATGTAGGGGTCTTAGAATAGGGCTTTGGGGTATACTATGCTATGAACTAAATGTATTAAGGAAACCCCAAAATAGTATAGGTAGTTATTTCGGCCCCTAAATTACCACAACTAATCAGGGCCCCCCTGTTGTCCACTGGTGTTCTGCCCAGGTGCGGTGGTGTTGGACGCATACGACGAACCTCAGTCACATCAGGTACTGCTCAGTGTTCCCTAAACCCTAAACCACTAAACCTTAAACTTTTAGCAGAGCTTGGGGCTCCCGGTTAAAAAAAAAAACGAACCCATCCGAAATTCAAACTTCAGAGTTTAGCGTGTAGGGTTAATAAGGGGTTAGGGTGTAGGGTTAAGTTAAGAGTTTAAACCCTAAAACCTACACCCGGGGTGATGCCTTGCCTCAAAAGGAACCCACAAGCCTAGCCGAAGTGGGCAAAAGTGGGGATGGCAAGGGGAACCTACGACCACAAAGCCGTAGCTGCTAAGTTCATAAGCCCAAAAAGTTGAAAACAAGTTCTACAGGGAATACTCTTATGACAAACAGGGTGAAGTTTATACCAAACTCAGCTACTGAGACTAAGAAATCTAACGAATACCTACGCAGGGTGACCGATGCATGTCGTCGCCTCACTTGGACATCAGAGGACCGACCACTCTTTCCCAAAGCCTAACCTAAATCCTGAAACTATGGCGGGCGCCCGAGGACCACACATCGAGACCTACACCTCTACCCTACACCCTACCTTCAACTACCATAACCTCCTGGTTTGTAGGTTCTTATTATAAACCTTAATATAGACTTTATAGGGCCCTACCAAAAAAGTAGGACCCTAAACCCTAAACCCTAAATCCCGAAACCCTGAATCCTAATTATAAGCCCTAAACCAACCTAGACCCTGAACTCTCGAAGACAATACCCTAAACCCTTCATGTAGGGGCCTTAATAATTAGAATAGGGTTTTGGGGGTTCCTTTCACGGGATCGTGGAAGGGTTCTATAAGGGATCTATACTAGGGTTCTTTTTTTTGAGGCCTTAGTAATTAGAATAGGGTTTTGGAGGGGTTCCTGATATAATTTTAGCATAATGGGCCCCATAGCCCTGTTCTAATTATTAAGGCCCCTACTATAGAACCCTATCATTGATCCCTTATAGAACCCTTTAACGATCCCTTTAAAGGAACCCTATTCTTGTTAAGGCCCCCCCTAAACCCAAAGCCCTAAGCCCTAAACCCTAAACCCTATTCTAATTATAAAGGTCCCTATATTAGGCCCTAAGGCCCTAAGCCAACCTAGATCCTGAACCCTAGGAGCCGACGCCCTCAGCCCTTAGCTTAATCCGCCGACTTGCCCAAAACCTCCAATATCCCTTAATTAGGGAATATACCTTAAATCTTACTATGGTTCCTATTCTAGTTTAAGGTATATTAAGGGGTTTTGGAGGCTCTGGGTGTGAAGACTTCAAAGCGGTAAGGCCCCGTCCCTTGAAGGCGATTTAGGGTGTCGGGTTTAGGGTTAGGGGTTTTAGGGTTAGGGGTTTAGGGTTTGGGGTTTAGGGTTTAGGGTTTAGGCTGTGTGAGTATGAACAGGAAATACCTTGCCTTGCCGACCCTTACTTAAAGCCATGCTATATAGCCGTGGACAAAAACAACAAGGCGGATAAACCCGTATGAAACCCGAGAAGGGTCCATCAAGTCCGTATGAAACCTGCAAAACACTGAAGGCTGTTCTGCGATATAGACCCCCCATGGTCAAACCCCAAACCCTAAACCCTAAACCCTAAACCCTAGCTTAGAGCCGAACCCAAACGCTCGAAGGCAGAGAATTCCAAAACCCTGAACCCCAAATGCTTGACGTAGCTGGTCTCGAAGCTCTAGAACTGCAGCTTCTTAGATCTTGAGCGACAAATTGCAGGAAAACTAAACCATAAAGCAAAGCGTAGCGTAATATGCGACTGGGACATAATCGAATCAATGCAATACCATGCACGATCGTAGAGTAGAGCAGGGTAGTGTAGAGTATATTAGTATCATAACCTTAAATGCATGGGAGTTTCCGACAATTAGGGGACCGTATTTTGAGATCTTTCGAATAAGGACCCTACTAGTTGGTGTACTATACAAGGGTCCCCCATTTTCGAAACACCCAAATGAAGAGGTTCATTGTTCATCGAGCGCAGGGATAGTTTGGGTGTAGGGTTTAGGCTAAGGGCTGTGCTGATGAGACCTAAACTCTATGAACCCTAAACCTTTAATACAGGGGCCTTAATAATTAGAAGATGGCTTTGGGATATATTAAATATTACAGTATAACACTAATCAGGAACCCCACAAATCGTACTGGTAATGATTTAACCCTAAACCCTAAACCATAAACCCTAAACCCTAAACCCAAACCCCAAACCCTAAAGCCTAAACCATAAACCCAAACTCTGAACCCTAAACCC